CCCAGTCTGCCATGGGGCTGGGAGGACCTGGCTCTGCAGACCAGGGAGGGCGAAGGAGGCAGGGTCAGGTGCTGGGAGCGTCCAGGACCAGGCTGAGAGCACTGGGCTTCGTACTGGGAGAACCGGGAGGCGCGGAGCTGGGGGCTGGGATGGGACCCAGTACATGGAAGGGGAAGAAGGATCCTGTTGGAACCAATAGAGATGGAAGGAGGCAGGAAGGCTGGGTTGTGGGGGGCAGGCTGTCACCATGACCCTGGGAGATGACAGAGGTGAGCAGTTGCTGGGGCCCAAGCGGGGAGGAAGAGGAACGTGATTTGAGAGGGAAGGCTGCAAACCTCAGTGCCTCATGGGGTCCAGGCTTGGGGAAGGGGGTGTCTGCAGTGAAGGCGAGGGAGAGGCGGGTTGAAGTTGGCTTTGCCCAGAGGGCACTCAGGCAGACTTAGGGCTCAGGGGGAGAGGGCTCTGTGTAATGTAGTGAGAGGGTGGGCACAGGAGGGCAGCTCTGGGAGAACCAGGAAAGGTAGGGGGAACATGGGAATGCCAGGGCTGAGCTCTGCAGGTGGACACACACCTTTCCTCCCTTCCTGTCTGCCTGACTTCCCAGGACCGACAGGCTGACTTCTCCCTCCCCTCTCCCAGTCCACTCTGGAATTGGCAGGTGTGTGACGGCTGAGGAGAATGGACAAACATGTCGGGTGTCACACGATCACAGGGGAGTGGGTACCGCACAGGGTCACACCTGTTTCATTTGGCAGCGAGAGAACAGAGGCTCCGGTGGCTTTGGGAAATAGACGGGTGGATGCAGTAGGAAACAGGACTCCGGGGACAGGTTGGGAGGGTAGAAGGACAACCAGAGAGCGCTGATATGGGGAAATGACACCGAAATCAACACTGTTGGATTTGGCGACAAAGAAGTCTTTCCTGGCTGTGGTAAGATCTAGACCACAGGAGGGATGGGGCCCTGGGAGGACCCACAGTCTGGCTCACAGCTTGGAACAGAGTGTGTGCGACGTGGGTGGTGAATGGGGGGGTGGGGGGGCATGGGAATCCTCGCTCTTCCCATATCTGATCCCGTTCCAGCCCTGATTTCCCACCTCTGCTCTGAGCTCCCAGCCCCAGAGAGGAGAGGGTCTTCCCTACCTGATCCAGTTTGGAAGACGCTGATGGTGAGGTTCTCAGGGGCATCTTGGGTAGAAAGATAAGGCTCTGCTTCAGAGGTGAGGAGTGGGTTCAGTGTTGACTGTGAACCCAAGAAGTCCTGGACATGGGGGAGGGGAACTCTCCCCTTCTTGGCCACGCCCCAATGGGACTCCCATGGCTCAGCTCCCAGCATGAGTTTTTCCTCTCTCTCTCTCTCTCTCTCTCTCTCTCTGTCTCTCTGTCTCTCTCTCTCTCTCTCTCTCTCTCTCACACACACACACACACACACACACACACACCATTCCCACTGCCTTCAGGGTGCCAGCCATCCCCCCTATACTCACGGGAGACATTGAGCAGGATGGTCACCTCCGTGGTCACAGAAGAGCCTTCTTGTCTCACCCGACAGGTGAGGTTGGTGCCGTGGTCCTGGGGCCTCGGGGTGAAGGTGAGCACCGGGGACTGGCGTGTTGTAGGGTCCGTCTCGTTAAGGGCTTCCCCCACCCACGAGAAGGCCAGGGGTCTGGCCCCCTCACAGGACCCTGACACGCTGCAGGCCAGGTTTGC